CGGGAGCGCCACCGCGCTCCCAAGCGGCGCACTGTAGCAGTGCGCCACGGGCCGGCCCCATAAAATAAAATTCTAATATCTCCTCACTACCTACAGAATCAAGTCCATGTTCCTACCATGAATTTTGATATACTCTATGATCAAGCTGCAAACTATTTTTCCAATCTCATGTTATGTCATCTAGCCACAGTGAGCTACTCGCCATTCTTTCAACATAACAGGTACATACATTTCTGCTTTCAAGTCTTTTATAACAGTGGTACAATCTTTCCCAAATCACTGAAATTCTATCCCATCTTTCAAGACTCAATTCATATGATATCTACTTGTTGAAGTCTTCCCTAATATTCTTAGTTGAAATTACTCCCAACTACGTCCTCTCAGTAGAATTGTACTTTTTTTTGTATTACCAGGGAATTTATTAAGTTCTGCTTGGTACTTAGTCCCTTATATACATGGCAGTAACTTACTCTACTTGGTAACCTCCTCTAACACAGGGACCTTTCCTGATCACCTACGTATGACCCACTGTGCTTAGTCCTATGTTTTACCAACACCTACAATTGTTAGGAAAAAAAATTGGCTTTTGCTTCTTTTAAAAAAACTTTTAAAGGTAAATGCATTGTGGTTCCAAGGGGATTCTATGGATCTCCCCTGAATGTGCTGCTAGACACATGTTGCCTCTTTCCTTTCTCAACCTCTTGATTTCCAGCTTTTATTTAATGGTATTACTACCTTTATTGTTCATCACTGTAAGCACATCACAGATTTTCTTAACACGCTAAAATGAGTTATGACTTCCTTCAAACCACACCTTAGACATGCCAAAGTTCTTACATTTTCCAGTGTTTACCTAACAGCTTTTTACTTCTATTAACTATACATTTATTATTAATTTTGCACCATCATAAATTATACTTCATGTTTAACTCCAATAAGAGGGATATCATTTCACATTCTGAAAATCTTAAACATCTCCAAGATAATTTCTTAACTGGGGGTGAAAATTCTTTACAATAATTCTTCCCCTGGCTTATGAACCAGGGCTTCTACACTTGGGAAACTTATACATCATGAGTTTGGCTGCAGTCATTTCATCAGCTTTTCTGTGGTCTTATCAGTGTTACCTCTGATTAAAACTTCTAAGAGTACAGGAGTTCTGCCTATTTAACTTTGCTTTATATTGTCTAGGCCCATCATATGTATCTATTACAAATTAATAAATACTGCCAGCTGATGGCAAATGGGCCAAAGCTCAGTCTACATTTTGGGACACTGTCAGTAAAAAAGCTGTTTTCAAGTGATGATCAAGGTGATATGTTTGTTTAAGCCAGGGATTGACAAACTATCGCCAATAGGCCAAACCTAGCTCCTACCTGTTTTTTGTAAATAAATTTTAACTGGAACACAGATACCCTCTCCCCACCACAACATATTGTCCATGGCTGCTTTTGCCGAACAATGGCAGAACTGAGTAGCTGTGACAGAGAGTATATGGCCTGCAAAACTTAAGATATTTACCATCTGACCACTTACAGAAAGATTGCCAGTCCCTAATTTAGGTAATGAAAATAGGTATTATATTAAAATAAGTGACGTTTTTACCTTTAATGTGGCTTGAGCACCTGGACTATCATCTTGACTACAAAGTACCAGAAGGGATTCCAGGCCAAAGACAGCATCTTGTTCTAGTGCCAAAAGATCTAAAAGAAAAACGCTAAGTTTTAGGGCAGTCAAGTAGAGGAGATTAGATACACACACACACACACAGACACACACACAGACACACACACACGAGCCTAAGATACAGGAAACACTTAAATGCATAAAGCTAACCTTCTTTGAAAAAACTACATGTGGCATTATTTCTGAAATGTAAAGGCTATCTTCAGACTTCATTATTTCTACCACTTTATTGAAAATTATAAAAATATATAGATAAAATCAAGAGCTTAAGCTGCAAAGCTGTAAATGGAGCAAAACTGAAATAGTGTCACCAGCTTAGCTAAGGAAAATACAAAGAACAGCAAACTATACAATATGTATTCATCTTCCTAATCAGACATAAATTATGCAGGTCCATTTTCACCCAGGATATACTAGTTTTCAGCTTCTAATGAAAGCCTAACTACCTTTACGAAGTAATGAAGACCAAATATAACCTTACTAAGGTTTTAAGTCTGACCATAATGAATGAACCCATAGATAGCTCATGTAATAGCAGTACTACAGCATCTTTTCACTACCATAGAACTGAAATCTCTCTGGAGGTTCTGTAAGTTCTGAATGCATTAGTTAACTGTATTTAGGTTAATATATGTCAGCTTTGAAAACACACAGCAGTATTTTATGTTACATGGTGGAAAATACCCTTTGCTAAGCCAAAAATAAAACAGGTTTAATTAGTCAAATCAGAATCAACGTACAACTTAAAGAAATGTTTCATGAGTTAGTGTGGGAGCTTGGCAAACAGTGTAAAGGTTAGTGGTGATAAGAGGGACTGCTGAGTTTTTAATCCTTAATAAAGATCAAAATAAGGGCCGGCCCTGGCTCACTCGGGAGAGTAAGGTGCTGATAACACCAAGGCCCCGTGTTCGGATCCCACATAGGGATGGCCGGTTCGCTCACTGGCTGAGCGTGGTGCTGACAACACCAAGTCAAGGGTTAAGATCCCCTTACCGGTCATCTTTTAAAAAAATAAAAATAAAAAAAATAAAGATCAAAATAAGCACTGAAAGAAATGGAATGTCCAAAATGCATTTCTTGTTCTTAAACACAGGCATGAAGTTTTTCAAGTCTTTAGGCCAAAATACGGTAGGAACACAATAAAATGTGTGCATTATTTTCTCCGCATGTCCTCCTTGATTATGCAAATCAGTTTCATGCGGCATATACCTAGAGATAAATCCTGTGAAAATGTAATTCACATTGTTCTGTTAATTCACTTGCCTCTAGGTGCAACTATTTGTTATTTAAACCCCTTGATAAGTAAATTTTCTAGGTTTTTGTGCAAGTTTCATATAAATTGTATTTTCTAGGGTTTTTTATACTGAAGGGGTAGAGTCCCAGGCAATCACTATCCACAGCACCACATGTATACAGGTAAGGAGTGGGAAGGAATGGGTAATGCTCTATAAAACCTTTCAATTCCACAATTCTAATCCCAAGGTCCTCATATTTTTATTATTTTTCACAAGGACTAAGTAGCCTTTAAAGAAAGCTTGCTCTAAGAACACTTTGGAAAGAGGCAACTTGTAGACCAATGTACACAGGCTAAAAATAATAAGGGATTAAAACACCAAACACAGAATTTTGTCCAAGCTCCAATCCAAAGCTTATACATAATATCAGTTCTGATCAAACTTACCTTTTTCTTGACAAGAGACAGTTATATTAGTTAGGACTCTCACTCCATGAGCTGCAATGCCCCTGTTATTATGGTAACAGCACTCTTGGGCTAATTTGACTAAATCAGAGGATCTGGGGGAAGAACCCACATTTCCTAAACAAGCAAAGAAAAACAGTACAGACTGTAATTCATTCAAACAGTTCAAAAGCAGTTTAACTTATAGGTTTAATTTTCTTAGTTTTATGAGAAAATCTCTAATAATAAACTTTACCAAATTTTTCTACCTTGACCTCATCATCAATGCATGAGGGGTCTTCAAAAAGTTCACAAAAACATTTGTATTATCTTTTAATATCACTTTTTCATGAACTTTTTGAAGTACCATCTTATATTACCATTTCTCTTTCCCATGCCAAGGTACTTAAAATAGGTATGTGCCAACAGTTTTGTAATAACTAAAATATAAAATCAATACAGGATTTTCCTATAAAAATATTAATAAAAATTGATAAAGAAACCATACAAAAGCCAAAACAACTATAGACTGTATCTTGGGAGTTCAAATGGACTCCGATTAAAAATGGATGTCATTATAGGCTTCTAGTCAGATAAAACTATACCTTCAAGAGAAGAGAGGAAAGAAAAACAAAAATTTTAAGTCTGCTTTTATATACCTCAAACTGCTGGCACGTATATTTTTTTATTGAAAAATAATTGATTATACATATTTGTGGGGTAGGTTGAATAACAACACCTGTAATACAATGTGTGACAATCAAATCAGAACAATCAGCATGTTTATTATTACAAACGTAATCATTCCTCTCCATTAACCAATTTCTTGCTAACCCCCCTGGCTCCCCGGCATACATTTATATCTCAAAAGGTTTACGAAAGAATGATGATTTTAGAGCTGGAAAGGATTCAAGCATCATCTGATTCAACATCCTATTTTTACAAAAGAAATCAAAGTCCAAAGATTTTAAGTATCTTGTCATTAAGGTTATAAAACTTACCAGTTATGTCTTACTCTTGTGCTTTATACCCTAAGTTCTACGCTGTAGACTGCAGCAACTTTTTAAATTCACATTTGAAATTCTGTAATGTGAGACTTACGTTGTGAATATTTTAATCTATGATAGAGAAGCTCTCAGTTATAACTGAGTGAGCTTCAAGAATCAGGAAATTAAAGCTTGTTCAACTTCTTAGAAGAGTCTCTCATTCCTGTTTTTTTTTCCTCTTCTTACACTTTCAGGATTCCTGTCAACTTCAACCCTGTCTCTCATACCAATCTTTTGAGGTTGAGGGGTATACTATTAATAATTACAGCAGGCATAAACCAAGACTATCTCAAGCAGTGGAAAACATATGGTCACTTTTGATCTCTGGTTTAACATAAAAATACTAGCTTAGGTGAAAGCCTCAGTGTTTTTAAGATACGCAAAACACTAGAATGAAACTATGGAAACTGTATTTCCTCTCTCCTTTCCCTACCCATGTGATATGGATAATGCAGACTTATCTACAGATTTACAAACATGTTCTGTAACTTTGCAAGTTTTCTTTTTTTTTCCCCCTGCCCCATCAAGATTCACCATAGAAAACTTGGAAAAAACAAAAATCCAAAGAAGGAAACAAAAATCATCCCAAAACCCACAAACCAGAATGACCTTGATGTTAACCTTCTGGAATATTTCTTTTGAAACTTTTTTTCCCCTTACATACACCAGTACAATTTAAAAATTCATATGTAATCAGGATATGTAGATACTGGCCAATGTCCTGCTTTTAAAATAAAACATTTTTGAGCATTTTTCTAGGATAACTTTTTTAGAGATAAAATTATTAGTTTTAACTTAATTTTTGTTTAATTAGAAGTAATTTTCTAAAATAAATTCACACGGTTCAAAAGATGCATACAACAAATAGTAGAAAAAGGTAAAAGGTTAGTGAGAGAAAAGTCTCCCTCATCCACCCAATGTTATGTTTCTTATATATTATTCCACAGTCTATAAATTTGCAAGCATATTTATTCCTTTCTT